TGTAATCCCACAACTCTGGAGGCCTAGGCAGGAGCATAGCAWTTTCCAGGTCAGCCTCAGCAATTTAGTGATGACCCTACCACAGAATAAGAGTTTCAGGCTGCGTTTCTCACAGGGTTCTGTTTTACTGTTTTTAAAATGTWAGATGGAGCTGGGCGTGATGGCGCATGCCTGTAATCCAAGCAGTTTGGAAGACTGAGGCAGGAGGGTTGCAGGTTTGAACACACAGGTTGTGTTCAAACAAATCGCAGGTTGATCACAGCCTCAGCAACTTAGGCTGTGAGCCTCCTAGGGAGACCCTGCCTCAAAGTAAAAAGTAAAAAGGAGTGGGTATGTGGCTCAGTTGTTAAGCACCTTTGGGTTCAATCCTTGCGCCCCTCCCACCCCCAAAAAAGTAGTTGGATTGATATACACTCTTGGGGTGAAATGCTCCATTTCTATACATGTTTAAGGAGGCCATAGTCTTTCATCTAGATTGTAGGTTCCCTGAGCCACAAGGATAGTRTTTTATCTAGTTGTGTTTCTCTATATTCCTGAGTGCATATTGGACCTTTGTTTGCTACATTTAATTTGTTTTGTTTGGGATTATAATTTAAAGTGCTTGACTCTGTGGTATTGTAAAGTACCTATTATGCTAAGGTGAGTTCCAGCATAGCTGAAGACATATATGTATTGTTTCTGTTCCCTTTTCTTGTAATTCTTGAAGAACTAAAGTGTTTAATTTAAAAAAAATTGATGTTCTCCTGAAATGACAGAAGATACATGAAACGAAAGAATATTATTTCATGTTAGATTTGTCACAACTGTAAAAAACTTCTAGATCTTATTTTATTCTGATCAAGTTTCTAGTAATGTAAAAGGAAAAGCAACCTAGTGTAATTATAACTCATATTATTATAGTTTTCTTAATTGATGCATTCTTTTTTAATGTAAAATTTAAAAAATATATACATATWTGTATATATACATACATACACATATACATATACATACACACATATATATACATATATATTTTGGTTAAAGTTGGACACAATATCTTTATTTTATTTATTTTTTATGTGGTGCTGAGGATGGAACCCAGAGACTCACACATGCTGAGCCACAACCCCAGCCCATTTGATGTATTCATTCTTGACAGACTAAATTGTAAACTTTAAATTCTTTGTTATACTTTAAGGATTTAGGATTGTTTTGAATGAGGTAGATGGAGTAGTCGAAGGGTGATTCCTTCAGTTAAGTATAGCATAGTTCAAGTAAGGCCAAGGTAGGTGATAAATTTCCCTTGTCTTGCTTGTCTACAAATTCCGTGGAAGAATTCACAAGCATGCTTAATTCAAATCTACTCATTTGAATCAGATATCATGGAAAATAGTGACCTTTTTGTACAGGAAGGCCAGCTCTCTTGAAATATACTTACTGATCATTGATTATTTGTACACAGTTTCACATAAGATTTAGTACTATTATAAGACACTTAGTGATTGCAAAAGTTTTGTCCTTGTCCCCTTTACATAGCAGAATTGGTTAATCAGTTTATAGGTTTTCACATTTTGAAGGTATAAGTTTATTGTAGAATGATGAAGTTTTGGACAATGAGGGGAAAATTTATTGATCGACTTTATGGCTCTTAGTGGTCTAATCCCTTCAATTTGAAGATGGGAAAACAGGCTGAGAAACATGAAATTCTGATAAAGAATTGGGTTTTGAATATGTTGAGGTATTTGTTAGAATATTTGAATGGAGGTGTCAGGTAGGCAGCTGGATTCATATATCTGGAATTGAGGGAGAGATCCAGCCTGGAAATGTAAATTTGAGAGTCATCCCCTTATAGGTGATATATTAAAACCCAGAGGTGGAATGAGATCCCCAAGGGTGTTGGTGCTTAGAGAGATTGAGAACCAAGGACTGAGCCTTGGGAGCACTTGGCTCCTTAAGTCAGAAGTATAAGATGAAGCTTAACTTACCTTTAAAGTGGTATAGGATTTGCTAGAAGCGAGCCTGTCTGTTGTGCTTGTGTATTGAAGGCAGTGCCTTCATGTGTATTATCTTCAAGGGAGGTGACACATTTATGAGTTGGATATGTGTGCGGTGTAATTTGGAGTGAGTATGTGGGCTGTTAGTGTAATGGTAAAGAGTTGAGAGTTTATGCAGTTAGAAAAGAGCTTCAAAAAGAGGATTGTTCTAGTCAGCTGGATGGATTTAGAAAGCTAAGATGCTTAGGAAGCTATTATAGTAGTACTGACCTGAACTGAGAAAGGTCTGGTAGCAGTGGGGATGGGAAGGAAATAACCGAATGGATAGAACCAGTGCACTAGAAAGCATGTATGGGCAAAAGGCAGAATTCAAGGTGATTTTGAATTTCTCTCTTGGGAACAGGGATATGAATGATGTTATTAATGTAAACTGGAGAAGTTAGGGTAGGAGTTTGTTTTGAGAGGAAGATAAAGAATTTAATGGAAGATTTGACAAGCTATTGGACCCCTAAAATGTAATCGGATTTCTAGTCAGTGGGCTAATCATATCATCATCTCTAGGATCCTGTTCTAACTCAGGTGTTTTTCCTGATGATTATTGTCAGAAAGATAAGTAGGAAGATACTGGTGAAAAAAGAAGAAATGACTATGTGGGAGTTTTAACTTAAGAGTTAACTAGTACTTTCAATTTTTTTTTGTTTATCTAAGTTTTGTAATTCAGAATTACTTCATAATATTTTCACAGAACTTGAAAATTGAGCATGCTTGGAATATCCTCTTTAGATTTATCTGTATTTCCCTAAGAGGTTTTCTGAGCATTTGTAAACCTCCACAGATTTATATTAGTAAGTATTTATGTTAATAAAACTAATAAAAACCCTTAAGAGGGCTGTTAGCTCGTTCTTTGGATAATTTCTCATCATTTGAAACTAACTGGCAACTGAGCTTATCTCAGTTTGTTTAATGGGTTTGTGCTTGATGAAGATTATTTCACTTCCCTAGTTTTTTTTCATAGATTTTTTTTAAAGTACGTATTTGGGGGCATTTGTGGTATAGCTACAATTTTGAGGAATTGACGTCAGTGTAGCTAAATTTCTTGTACAGTGTTAGTGCTTTGTAAGTATGATTTAATTAATTAAACATGATAATATAAAAATGTATATACTAGCTCCTTCCCAGCCATTAATTATATAGACCATAATATTATTCTCTTTTATTATTTGAGTTGGGAAGTTTGTAATTAAAGGAGTTATGAATTTAATACTGGAAAATGATTGATATATTTGGAGACATTATTATTCTATAGGTAGAGCTTGAAGCACAAATGGATTTCCTGGTATTGTATTTGAACCAATGAATATTTAAGAGTAGCAGTTGTATCCAGTTTTCCTTAAAGAAGTCCTGTTTAACATTTTATTGTACCAGACAATTTGGCACAGACTAGTTATATTCCTATGCCCAAGTTAATTTATGTTAAAACAATATTTAGTTTTATTTCAGGGTGCAGCATTAATTCTTAGAACTGATTGCTTTGAGACTAGTTTTATATACCTTTTAGTATGTTTTGACATTGGGAAGAAAAAGAATACTCAGTGTTAATTTCTTCTGAATAATATAAAATTACATAGTTGAGTTGATGTTATCCTTCTTCCATTTCATTTACTAATGGCCACAGGTACCAGTGGCTTTCTCAGAAAATCTTCTCCAATGAATTTCACCTTTCAGTTAGTAAAAGACAATATTCCCACAAAGTTTCAATTCTCCAGAATGGATATACATCATCATTTAGTATAATGCACTCCTCTTAAAACTCTTGAGCTTGGTTTTAGTATTGCTTAGTTACCTGGATTTTCCAAAACAGGCTTATCAGGCAGCTGTATGTCCATCATTTACCAGGCATATTTGGTGATTATCATGTTTTTGTGTTGCAGATTGAACCCAGGGCCTTGCAAATGCTAAGTACATGCTGTACCACTGAACTACACCCCCCAACCTCTATATGATGATGATGATTATTTTAATATGTATATATTTTTTAGTTGTCAATGGATCTTTATTTTCTTTTTGGGTGGTGCTGAGGATCAAAACCAGTGCCTCACAAATGCTAGGCAAGTGCTCTACCACTGAGCCGCAACCACAGCCCTGTATGATTATTTTTATGACAATATTTTTGTTTTTGTCAGCCTTGGAAATTTAAGTATATATACCTATACATTAGTTCCATGAAGATTGGCTAAGATAATGTAAGGTCACAGGCTGTTTAGTGAAGTTTACAGGTATATCATAGTAAGATTTATCAAAGCAAGTATGGAGTTTTGAATGTGAATATTAAGTGAAATATTGAATTTTCTTGCAGTAGTCCTTAATATAYGTTCATTTGTTCTTATGGTGTTTCTCATGCTTGTTACAATTTCTGGTAGCATGAATAAGTAATTTACTTACATTTCATATCTGAGAAACTAAAGGAAGAACTGGCTAATAAACATGAAAATTGCCATTTAATTTCTACTGTCCACTTTATGAATGCTTATGATTATCGTTCCCTGCTCTTAAACACATATTTGGATTGCTGTCAGATTTCGAGTAGTCTTTGTGTACAAACTAAATTTAAAAAAGTCTTAAGTAAGAAATTTAAATTACCTGGGTATGAGGGGGGAAAAAAGCAAAAGCAAAGACAAAAACTACTGAAGGAGAAAGATTTCAAAGTTAATCAATTTTTTTCTTTTGCTCTCTACTTATTTGGATATACCACATCATATTCCTACTCAGTAATACAAATAAGGATAATATTAGTGCTTGTGTGTATACACACATTTAAATTATATAGAAAAACAATATTCTCATTTAATTTGGCTGACCAATGAATTAGCTATTTTTATTGTTGTTCAATAAAAATTTAAATGTAATAGTCTTATTAAAATAAGTGAGAATAATTAAATAGAACTGATTAAAATTAAGCCTTTAAAATACTTATGGATTAATTAGCAGGCTATAAGTGAAATTCAGTTTTGGTCTCCTTTACAGGAATAGCTATTCAGTCAGACAGAACCACTTATCACGTTTTGCAGTATCTCCTGAGGAAGTCAGAATCTGAGCCAGCATGAAGACTGAATCTTGTCTTTGGTCTGATTTATAACTGTGCTTTTATTCTAACCATGTGCAAGGTGGAGGTTATAGCATGGAAACTAAAACCTTAGTAAGTGTGATTTTTATTTTAGCTATTAAATAATAGCCTTTCTAATAGTGAAGTTGTCTTAGAGTTCACACTACATGGGGTGTGGGCTTGGCAGGCAGGAACATAAAAGACTTCCAGAGTAAAAAGACAGCTTTCCAGTTTTGGGAAGAATCCCTGAGAAAGAGAGGGAAAAGTATCTGTTATTCTACCTATGATTTCTTTCTCTTTTTTAATTTAAAATTGGTGGGAGCCAGGTTAGTGGCATATGCCTGTAATTAATCCCAGCTACTTGGGCGGCTGAGGTAGGGAATCTCACAATTTGAGGCCAGCTCCGGCAACTTAAGTGAGACCCTGTCTCAATGTTCTCCCTGCCCCTAAAAAAAGAAAAAAGAAAAATCGGTTAAGATCAGTAAAGAAAGGATTTAAGGAAATGAAAACATTTTAATGTCTAAATTTAAGCCATTAAAGAAGTCTTAAATTGGGGCTGGGGATGTAGCTTAGTGGTAGAGTGCTTGCCTACCATGTGCAAGGCCCTGGGTTTGATCCCTAGTAATTCATTGTTTAAACTTGCCATGTAAATTTCTTTATTTATGAATTAGTAAGCTCACTGTAGGATTCTAGAAACTTTTAAATAATGAATATATTTTAGTATGAGTTGAATTTTGAATATATTTTAAAATTTTAAATGTTAAATAATAGTCAAAATTATATTGGCATGATTATGCTGATAGTTATTTCAAGAAATGTTCTATCAATTTGATTTTCCCAAGTATTGGTAATATGGGTTTGATTTTTTTTTAAAGGCATTCTTTTTAATTAATTAATTAATTAATTATGTGGTGTTGAAGGTCAAATCCAGTGCCTCACATGTACTAGGCAAGCTCTCTACCACTGAGACACAACCCTAGCCCATGGGTTTGCTTTTTGTGCTCCACAGAGAACTAGATTTTTCAGATACAGGATATCAAGAAACAATCTATTTTATAAAGTTACTTTGTTAATTATGATGATTACTCCTCAGTGTCTTTTTTCTACTTGTGCTGATTAAAAGCAGTGAATAATTGATATTTTTAAGCTGCTTTTCTTCCATACCAATGAGGATAGAGATTACTTTGATCTTCTRTAGTCGTGAATCAAACATTATAGTAACCTAGATAGCATGATTGTTATATTGTTATGTTGTTTATAATTTGAGAATGATTATGTTTTGAGGTATTATTTAGTTTGTATGCTTTTCCTTTGAGTCTTTTTAACTATTGGATACTTTTCTAAATTGATGGTGATGACCAAGCTGAAATTATGACCAAGCTTTCCTATTATGACTTCCATGTTTTAATTTCTTCCCCTTTTAGAATAAGTGTCTTTATCTCTTGCATTCCAGAGTACAATTTCATTAAATCCTGAGATCTAAGAGTTTTCTTTGGAAATTTATCCCCTGTATCTCTATAGAAATCCAAAAAGAAAAGTAAAACAATTTAGTATAAAATCTTACATTCCTCTTTTGAGAAATGTATATTTTATAAGTAGAAGGATACATTTATTTTGGGGGCAGATTTTAAGAGGTGGAATTAGTATTTTTTTTAATAACCATGTCCTAATTATTTATAGCTTCCTGCTTGACATAACTCACTTCAAGAAGTGCACAATGTCAGAACGTGGAATTAAGTGGGCTTGCGAATATTGTACGTATGAAAACTGGCCATCTGCAATCAAATGCACTATGTGTCGTGCCCAAAGACCTAGTGGAACAATTATTACAGAAGATCCGTTTAAAAGTGGTTCAAGTGATGTTGGTAGAGATTGGGATCCTTCCAACACTGAAGGAGGAAGTAGTCCTTTAATATGTCCAGACTCTAGTGCAAGACCAAGAGTTAAGTCTTCATACAGTATGGAAAATGCAAATAAATGGTCATGCCACATGTGCACATACTTGAACTGGCCAAGAGCAATCAGATGTACCCAGTGCTTATCCCAGCGTAGGACCAGGAGTCCCACAGAATCTCCTCAATCCTCAGGATCTGGCTCAAGACCAGTTGCTTTTTCTGTTGATTCTTGTGAGGAATACAATGATAGAAATAAACTGAACACAAGGACCCAGCATTGGACTTGTTCTATTTGCACATATGAAAACTGGGCCAAGGCTAAAAAATGTGTTGTTTGTGATCATCCCAGACCTAATAATATTGAAGCAATAGAGTTGGCAGAGACTGAAGAGGCTTCTTCAATAATAAATGAGCAAGATAGAGCTCGTTGGAGGGGAAGCTGCAGTAGTGGTGGTAATAGCCAAAGAAGATCACCTCCTACTACAAAACGAGACTCTGAAGTTAAAATGGATTTTCAAAGGATTGAATTGGCTGGTGCTGTTGGYAGCAAGGAGGAACTTGAAGTGGACTTCAAAAAACTAAAGCAAATTAAAAACAGGATGAAAAAGACTGATTGGCTATTCCTCAATGCTTGTGTGGGTAAGTTTCTCTTTTCTGCATTTTTAAAATTGAGATGGGAAAAAGTATTAAAAATTACATGAAATAGAAGCAGGGTTAATAGAAATATTGAGCTCATTCCGTGTGATAGTTGTACTTAAAAGTATTCATACACAAGAATTTATATTTGTGATCTTGTCAATTTGGTGCTAAATTGCATACATTTAATTGTGTACATGTCTCTGTATCATTAGGGGAGAAGTTTCGGGTTAAAGCAAACTTTTTACACATTGTTAGAAAAATATACCTGGAGTTTGAAACTGCTTCTCTACTTATTGTAACAAGATGTGACTGAGAAACACCAGCTGCTATTTCTCAGTGTTTGTAAACAGTGTGAGCATCTTGTGATGAGAGGCTTTAGTCAGATGTTAAAAATATCATAAAAATGTGTGACTCCAAGAAGTTGAACAAACATAATATTGACCTTGAAAGTGCTGATGTTAATTTAACATGAATGCCATGTAGTAAACGTTTGCAAACTTCACGGAACAGATGTCATGTAGCCAGCTGATCCTATAGTTCAAATCATGATTTGTGTATATTGTGTTTTTTAATGTTTTTGTAAGGAAATTTGAAATTTTCGACCCAGACACTGGGTCATAGTTGGTAAAGGACAAAGACATGAGATCAGGGTTTTCATCCAGTTATTGACATAGTTATTTGTGAGAATTCATTATTTGTGATATAATACAAAAGCTAAGACTGTACTTTTCTGTACTATACCATAGTTTCAAGGATTATTTCTGTAGTTCACTATAAAAGGTAACAAACGTACACACATATCTTGAGTAGATTGGATGTTTGAGATTATATATATATATATATATATATATATATATATATATATAAATTTTTAGAAACTAGGAGATACAAAAGGGATTTATTTTTACTGTCAGATTTTGAGATCAGATTCATATAACAAACCACACCATTGTAAAAGTGAATAATTCAGTTTTGTTCATATTTATAGTGGTATGCAACCACTAYCTCTGTTTAGTTCAAAACATTTTCATAACCCCAAAAGGGAATCCTGTACCAATTAAGCAGTTAAATTCCCATTCCCTAACTGCCAGTCTACTTTCTGTCTCTGAGTTTACTTATCATGGGTATTTCATATAAATGGAATTTTACATTATATGACCTTTACTTGAATGGTTTGGAATACTCTCAAAATAATATTTTCAGGCTTTAGCATACTATGCATCCTTTTACTACATGGTGGTGTTAAAATACATATATGTTTACAGATAGAAATGAGCTAAACTTCATTTTTAGTGATTCTTAACATTTCGGTGTCATAGAATCTTTTAGGAATTAGGTTTATAGTTTTTTAATTAAGTAAATCTCAGGTTGAGAACTGCTTGATATTATGGTTTATTGAAGCCTTAAAAAGCAATTTTCAAAGTATGTATACTAAGCATCAAATTGTATACTGAGTGTAATTTATAAGACTTTCTTGTTTAAAATTGGAAAAAACAATTCCATCCTCAGGCCAACTTTGTAGCTGATAAAATGGAATGAGGAAAGTTGAATTGTTGAGAAAGCAAAAATAAACTAAGCATCAGTAGTACTGAACGGGCATTTCTTACTAGTTGTTGTGTATGTTTCTCACCAGTCATCTTTATGTGGTGAGAGGATTGTGGGGGATGGGGGGATGGCAGTGCAAACCTGACATCAGCAAAAGAGGATTCTGGGAGCTAGGATGGTAAAGTCAGAGATGAGAATTTAAATTCAGTTGACTCTGGAATGTCTGTTGTTGGTGCCAAGTGTTTTCAGGGAGCTCACTTCAGCACTCACTGTAGTCTGCCCTTCCCACTGGATAGACAGCATTGTACTGAGAGAATATGGCAGCACTACTTACTTAATACATCGATTTTCTTTTGTTATTGTTTGGAATCATTCCCCTCTGGCCACCTCTCCCCCAATCCCAACGCTAAAGTGCTTTACTACTGAGCCTATCATATCCCCAGCTCTTTTTATTTTGAAATAGGGTTTCTCTGGGTTGCTGAAGCTGATCTTCAACTTTCAATTGTCCTACCTTAGTCTCCTGAGTTGCCACTGTTCCAGGCTCACTTTCCTTTTAACAGATGAATCTCTGTCTCGTTGCAGGATTTGCTATGTTGCCTCCTTTGAATCTTCTCAAATGGTGCCTTCTCAGTGAGATCCTCTTGACTGCTTTATCTAAAGTTTCATCCCTGTCCTATACTCCTTGCTCCCAGTTTTTTTTTTTTTAATATTCTTAAGTTTAGGTGGACACAATATCTTTATTTTAYATTTATGTGGTGGTGAGGATTGAACCCAGTGCCTCGTGCATTCTAGGCAAGCACTCTACCACTGAGCCACAATCCCAGCCCCTCCCAGTTTTAATTATATTCTTAACAGTCACTTTCTGGTACATTTGGTAATTTTGGTTATTATTTGTATCTCCTCTAAAATTTAAGCTTCCTCTGAGTATCAGGAATTTTATGTGTTTTGTTCACAGCTATGTCCTGATGCCTAGAACAGTGCCTGYTGTGTATCAGATATTTATTAACCAGTGAAAAGGCTTTTTAGAAACCGAGGTTTGAACAAACAGACCTGTAAGGATCCTGTCACTCTTTTGAATTTCTAGATTCATTGCTTTCTTAGCTTTCTCTATCTTGCACTTTACAGACTACTTGGACTTGACCCAGTAAAGCAAACTCTACTTTTCTTTGGCTGTCAGGATAACACTGAGGTAGTCAGTACAATAGTTTTTTAGTGGTTAAGGGTAGAGATACCTTAGTTCATTACCAGACAATTCGTGAGAAGAGAATCTGAATTCAAGGTTTTTTTTTTCTTTTTTTTCTAACATTAAATTTCTTCATCTTTGTACTTGCATTGATGGCAATATTTGATTTTAAAAAGTTATTCTGTGTGTTTCTTAACTTAAAGTTGTATCAGATAAAATTTTTACATGAAACCGTATTGTCATTGGATCTATAACTTCATAGTTAGCACTTTGTTTTCACTTTTTTTTTTTTTTTTTGACTATGCTGGGGATCTAATCCAGCTCAAAGCTCTCTACCACTGACACACCCCCAATTTTGTTTCGCTTCTTAAACAACAGTTTTTCAGTAATCTTTGTTATATTTAATTCATCTAGTGCTCCTGCTAATGAAAATGTGAAGGAGTTGAGATGTGAGGGGTGTTAAAGGTATAGGGAAAAAGAATTAAACCAGGCATGGTGGKGCATGCCTGTAATCCCAGTTATTCAGGAGCTGAGGCAGGAAGATCCAAAGTTCAAGACTAACCTGGACTGCATAATGAGACTGTGTTTCAAAATAATAAGCTCTGTGGTGTAACTCAGTAGTAGAATGCTTGCTTACTTAACCTGTAAGGCCCTGGGTGCACTCCCCAGCTCCACAAGAAAATAACAGAAGAAAAACCCTTACAAGCTTAAGGGCTTGGTGGTGTGGCTCAGTGGTAGAATGATTGTCAAGCAAGCACAAAGCCATGTTTGATTTCCACCAAACACCCATATACATGTGGGTACATGTATACATGCAAACACAGAAGAATCAAGCTTATATAGTAGGTACGTGTTGAAACTGGAATTTTTATGCTCAGGTGTTTGGTTGCTCAGTAGCATGAGCACCTTTCAATCAGTGATGCCTTCTGGTGCTCTGAAGTTTTGGGGTTACCTGTATTGTGCACTAATATTTTCTGTTGAGAATCACTGATTTGTGGGCTAAACTCTTTTATGGAGGAGTAGGCTGAAATGGAATAATGAAAATTGTAATCTTGATCACTTCTGAGCAAGATTGGTCACACTTCCAAGATTTTGACAAGTCTAAAATATAGAAAATATCTTGGAATTGAATTTTTTTTTCTGTCAGGTTGTCTATGAAAATATTTGTTGGATTTGATCTAATTTCCTTCTTTTATAACTTGTTGAAAATTAGTATTTGAGGTATTTTCCATATTGGTGCCAATTGTATTTTTGGCCCTTTGCTAGAAACCTGTGTACTATGTCATATGCAATGTATCCATGTTAAGAGTGCCAGATGTAACTGTAGAAATATCTACATGTGAATAGTATTAAACATATCTGAAGTTTTTTCCATCATAAAACGCTATACTCATTTTAACAAAAATTGGCAATCCCTGGGCTTATTACATTTTAGAATATTCTTTCTGATTTTTTTCTGGTATCTGTATTAAGAATTGTGTATATGGGCCAGGTGTGATAGTGCATGCCTATTAATCCTGGTGGTTTGGGAAACGGAGGCAGGAGGCTGGTGAATTCAAAGCCAGCCTCAGCAACCTCGCTAGGCCCTAAGCAACTTAGTGAGATCCTGTGTCTAAATAAAATATTAAAAAGGGTTGGGGATGTAGCTCAGTGGTTAAGCTCTCCTGGGTTCAATTCCCCAGTACCCCCCCCCCCCTCCCCAAATGTGTATGGATGGACGTTTGCGATTTGTCAGTTGAAGGTTTTTCTCAAGGAAACAAATTGTTAAAGTTGTTTTGGTGTTATTTTTCTTTCTCTGGAAAACTGTTGTAAAACGTAACCTTGTATATTGATTTTTTTTCCCCTAGTTTTTTTTTTTTTTTTTTTTTTTTTTGGTACTGGGGATTGGAACACATGGACTCTTTTCCATTGAGCTACACCCCTAGCTCTTTTTACATTTTTATTTGGAGAACAGAACCTTACTAAGTTGCCCAGGCTGGCCTTGACCTTGCAGTTTTCTTGCCTCAGCCTACTCATTTGCTGGATTACAGATGTGCGTCATGTGCCCAGCTAATTCTTAGTTTTGAAATTCACGACTGGTCAAACAAAGGGGATATTGTACAGTCCAAAGGAAATTAGGTTGACCTTTAAGTTAGTTTTGGGAGATGGTTTTACTATGAACTTTTGTGATTAAAAGGTGATTTATATCAAAAGTACTATGTCAAAACAAAATGAAATTCCTGTGGTGATTTTACCTATTTAAGACATCTTTGGGAAGATTTTCTAATTWGAG